ACCACCGAGAAGCCAGGAAACCGGCCTGGCCCCGCGCCCCCTGGAGGGCAGAGGCCCGCCTGCCCGGTGCCAACCTGCCCAGCGCACACCGGGCTCTCCACAGAGCCGGGACTGAGAGCTGTGCTCCCCGTGGGCACACGAGGGCCAGAGGCAGAGCTGTCACGCACGTGCAAGTTATAACCACCGGATACTCTATGTGCTCCAAGCTCAGGCCGCTGCCCTCTGGGGCCCTGGCGGCCCATCCTCTGGCTTCACGGGCCCCTGGTCACTGGTCTCAGATAACAAGCCGGTGGCCACTCACACCTGCCCCCCAGGAGCTGCTCTGACGATGGGGACATGCCCGAGAGCCAAGCACCCGCCCCCCCACACACACACACCCAGCAGCGTGTCCCGTCCTTGGGCACACGAGGACCCTCAGTGGCAGTGCCGGTTCTGATGCCCGGCCCCATCCCTAGAGGTTCTGGTGAACGGAACCCAGGCAGGGCCTGGGCATCGGGCCACCTCTCAGCTCCCTGGGTGATGCCAGCGTGCAGCCGGTGAACACCCAGGGCCAGCGCTGTGCCCACACAGGACCCCGCCTGCTGCCCAGCTACGTCGGGGTGACAGTCCCCAGGCTCTCATTACCACACCGACTGCCTCCTCCCCTCGCACATCGCCTGTGCCCAGGGCCTCCCCTCTCCCGGGCTGGGAGGTACGGCCCCTGGTACGGCCCCTCAGCCCCTGGAACAAAGAACCATCAGACTGTGGTCCCGCGGTGTCACCTTACAGGAACAGGAAATGAGGCCCTCCCCCCGCGGGGCCCCTTTCTGAGGTTTGTGCAGGGGAAGAACACGGGCCTCCTCCAGCCTGGCGAGGAGGGGCCGGCCAGGGCTGGAGAGCGGCCTGGCGCCCAGGCCTCGCCGACTCCCAGGGGCCTTTGCAGCCAGCGCCGCCAAACTTACGAAGAAAGGAACCAGCCCGGCCGCCTTGTCCTGCTGCAGCGCCTCCTGCAGGGCGGACGCGCGCATGGCGAACTTGCCGTCCGAGGGGATGGCTTTGAATTTCACTCCTCCGATCAGTGCCGCTCTTTCCACGGAGCAGTGGGCCTGTGGAGAGCAGCAGAGTTAGGCCGGCTGCCCGTGCTGGCCCTACGCCCTGGCTCTGGGAGCGCCCACCGTCCAGCCCGCTCCGCCCGCCCAGGGCACATCCTGGCCCGCTCTGTCCCGGCCCATTGGCTGCCCTCGCCTGCAGCTTCCCCAGAGCTGCGGAGACCCCCCAACACTGAGCCCCTCAGCCCCGCACGGCCCTGCTCCCCAGGCACTGGCTGGCTGGGGCGTCCCAGGGGAAGAGGAGCCCATGGTCC